ATAAATCCAAAAATAAGGCAAAAGGCAAGAAATGATATTATTGTGGAAAACTGAGTCATTTTATCAAAAATTGTTATAAGAAGAAAATGAATTAAAAAAATAGAAATTGGATGTTGGGAATGCTACCTTAGTCTATAATAAAGAAAACTTAAAGGTGGGTTATTCTTTATTAATATTGAAAAGAAGTTAAGTGATGAATTGATACTTGATTTAGACTGTTTTTTTTTTTTTCCATCTGTCCAAATGAGAACTATTTTCTTAAATTTGAAAAAACCACTTGAGGGCAATAACATGACCTGTAAAGTAAATGGAATAGGAACTGTAAAACTATTACTTGAAAATGGTAATGTTCTATTTCTAAAAGGAACTAGATATATTTCTGATTTAAAGAGAAATCTCGTGTCCCTAGACATGTTAGATGACATGGAATTTGATATAAAATTGTTTCAAGGGCATATTAAGATTCTTAGGGTCACCAATTTGATTATTAGCACCCATAAGGGACAATGTCTCTATTTTTTTGAAAGCTAAACCTCTACTTTGTTTAACTGCAACTGCTTTGACTGAAAATTTTACTTTGACAAAATTATGGCATGAAAGATTTGGCCACATTGGTATGAAAAATTTCAAATCTTTACAAAACAAAAAAGTCTTTGGAAATCAAAATCTTGGTGATATTGGTACTTGTGAACAATGTGTGATAGTCAAGCAAGTCAAGTTACATTTCTTACCAGAAATTCATAAATCCAAACAAATACTTAAATATTTGCACGCTAATCTATAGAGTCCTGCTTCTATTTGTACTTTAACTAATTTTAGATATTATCTTCTGATTATTGATGATTTTTCTAGAAAAAACTAGTTTTTTTAAAATTAAAATCAAAAGACGAAACTTTTTATGTTTTCAAAGACTAGAAAACACAAATTGAAAACTAAACTAATCATAATATAAAAATTCTAGGAATTGACAATGGTTCAGAATTTTGCAACTATGAATTCAATCATCTTTGTAAAGTGCATGGCATATTAAGATATAGAACTGTTATTTATACACCTCAACAAAATAGCATAACTTAAAGAATGAATAGAACTTTACTAAAAAAAGTAAGATGCATGATTTTAAATTCTGGTTTACCTAAACTGTTTTGGAGTGAAGCTATAAAAACAGTTGTATATCTTGTGAATTGAATCCCTACTAGTGCTTTGAATTTTGAAGTTTATGAATCAGTCTGGTCGGAAAATCCTGTAAATTATTATCACTTGAAAGTATTTGGTTGTGCTGCATATGCTCATCAAAATATTAGTAAATTGGAACCCAAGTCACAATGTTAAAGGTTATAGATTATGGGCTAAAATGAAAAAAGCTATAGGGTAATTGTTAGAAGAGATGTCATTTTTAATGAATCTATTATGCCATGTTTGGAATGAAAGGAAAATAAATTGATTGAAAAATATATTCAAATTGAGGTGGAGTCTCCTCAAAATGAAGGATAAACTCATGAACCTGTAGTTGATAAATCTGATCTTGATACAAATGCTATTTTAACATAAAATAAAAACAATCAAAAAACTGATTTTAATAATCAATTTAATCCTGCAACTCTTCATCTTGATAAATATCAACTCACAAGAGATAAGGAGATAATGCAGATCAAACACCCTACAAGGTTTGATTGTGATAATTGTGTTTCATTGTTTACTTATCAAGATCAATTTAAAAATGAGCATAACTCCTATGATTACGCTATTAATTGCAAATATGCTAAAAATTGGAAAGTTGTCATGGAAGATGAAATATCTTCACTTTTTAAAAATAAAACCTCGGAATTGTTTCAAAGGCCTAGAGACTATAAACTAATTGATTGTAAGTGAATTTACAAGATAAAAGAATGTGAAGGGGAAAATAAAAGTATTAGATATAAAGTTAGACTTGTAGCTAAAAGGTTCACACAAAAGGAAGGTGTTGATTATACTAAAATTTTTTCCCCGATAGTTAAATATATCACTATTAGATGCATTATTGCTCTTGTTGTTCAATTTAAATGTGAATTTGAACAATTAGATGTAAAAACTGTTTTTTCTCTATGGAGATTTAGATGAAAAAATTTATATGAGACAACATGTTGATTTTATTAAAGGGGATTTTGAAATTATTGTTTGTTTATTAAAGAAATCTCTTTATGGGTTAAAACAATCCCCAAGGTAATGGTACAAAAGGTTTGACAGTTTTGTTTTGAAACATGGTTTTCAAATAAGCAACAATGATACTTTCCTCTACTACAAAGGTAAATGAGGTAAAAACTCTCTGTATTTAGTGCTTTATGTTGATGGTATATATGTTACTTGCTAGTTATGATAAGTCTGAAATTGATGATATCAAACAGAAATTGAAATATGAATTTGATATGAAGGATCTTGGTTCTGCCAAAAAGATCATTGGCATGCAGATTCTAATGAATAAAGAAAAAGATCTGTTATTTTTTAATCAACATGATTATGTGGTTAAAATTTTGAAAAAAAATCAATATGTTTGACTGTAAACTTGTTACATTACCTCTTTCAAACCATTTTAAACTTTCATCTAGTTATGTCCTAAAATAGATGAAGAATTTGCTAGAATGTCTAGAATTTCATATGCAAATGTGATTGAATCTGTTATGTATTTAATGTATGTACAAAATCTGACCTTGCTCATAGTGTTAGCATACTTTGTAGATTCACGATTAATTTTGGGAAAGAATATTGGAATGCTTTAAAATGGCTTCCAAGATATGTGAAATGAACTTTAGATTTTGGTCTTGTGTTTAAAATGAATAAATACGAGATAACTTTGAAGGGTTTTTCTGATTTTGACTTTGCAGGAGATACAGACAATATGAAATCTACATCAGCTTATTTCTTTACTCTGTGTGATACTGTAATTAGTTGGAAATCTCAAGTTAAAAAGGTTGTGGCTTTGACTTCAACTGAAGCAAATTATATTGTTGCTTCTGATGTTATTAAAGAAGGTATTTGGTTAAGTTTGTTGTTGAGTGAATTTGGTTTTGCTGATGAAAATGCAATAATGTGCTCTGACAACAAAGTGTTATACTTCTTAGTAAAAATCTCATGTTTCATGATATATAGGACTAAACACATAGATATTAAATATCATTTTATTAAATATATTATTTCAAAAGGAATTCTGAAAATTGGTAAGGTTTCTACACAATTTAATCCTTCGGATATGAGAAATAAAATAATACCTTTAAACAAATTTCGTAATTATTTGAAGTTATTATCTATTGATATTTTGTAATGTATAAATAGGCACTTAGATCAAATGACATTAAATTGCTAATATTGCTCTTGGTTGCACTTTTGGTCCCAAATTTCTGGTAACAAGATGGAGATTGTTAATGCTCGAACCAGTGATCTGTGATATGCTCCCAAAAATTTGGTTAAAGTCGCATTACTGGAAATGCAACTTTCGTAAGTTGAGACGTTTCTGCATGACGGCAACACATGTCCTTATTATGGCCCTTCATTTGGCCTTTTTGCTGTGTATGTGTGTGTGTATATATATATTTCACTTGGCACTTTTTCTTCCTCTTCTTCTAACTGTTAGTTTGAGAGATAGACGCCTTTTCTTTCGAAGGATAGGGTTTTTGATATGTGGTTTTATTCTCTCTTGAAAAGCTCATTCGAGACTGAGATACGTGTTTTTAGCATCTAAAATCGGTATATTCTAAGTGATTACTATAAGAACGAGAGGATTCTTAGAGTTGTAGTTTCAGTAGGCGTGTTGAAGTTTTTGGAGCGATTCTTCATAGATCTGTAGTTTATTTTTGAAGAGATAAGTGTTTTGTATCTTTCTCTTGTATTGGAAGAACCTATTTGCAATCATGTTGCCATTTTGGGCTATTAGTACAACTGAGCATATATCCAATTTATTAAATGCTCAACGGGAGATGTTGGTGCTAGATGTGGTGGCCGAACCTTCGGAATTTAAGTTGAAAGAAATTGCTTATGTTCAATCTTTTATTTTCTGCAAATTTACTTTATGTTGATTGTGATTATTCGAAATCCTGTTTTAATTTCTTGTATTAGTTTCAGCTTAAGGAATTTAAACTAAAATTATCTCTATGAAAACTCGTACTCAACTGTAACTCCAAAAATCAATTAATTGAGATTGGTACAAGGAAAAAGCGTCAAGTACAAGAATTGTTTTACAGATATGTTACCGACGCCGACGTGATGAAATGTGATTCACCTTCTCTTTTTTTTTCCATCTTCCAATAAATGCATGCCAATTGCTGTCTATAAATATTTTTTGTCAAAATTATCTGTACTTAATAGTATGATAATCTATTGTTACTCCAAGAGTTGACTAATTCCTTGATTGAAGCCACTAAGCGTAGCTGATCAGTTACAATTGATTTAAGCTCTAGTAAGTTAAATATTATCGATTCTTTACCAATTAGCCACATAATTATTTATCTAATTCCCTTTTTTTCTCTTTGCAATTTTGTGATTGTATCACAAATGAGAGTTCAACAATCTTATTGTCGAACTAATAAGGTTGGATTAAATTGATCGATAGAAAAATATTTATGGTAAAGATCATTCCTTATCAATTAGAAATACCTTCAGTGTCGCGAATATGTGTTCATTAATTAAGTCATCCTAGTAACTAGATGTTGATTATATAATTTATTTGACTATTTGTTAGTTCTAAAAAATCGTATTAATTGTAAAAGTCCAAAACTCGCTCAAGATTGAGGTTTGCAAGGTAGTTATCGCAATAAGATTTTTTTGTAAATAATTTGCATACTGCAACCTTTCGAATTCGAAATTTCAATGCCCTAGTTGCTTCAAGACTGGAAATTGTCGATCTTATCTTCAAGCAATTTTGTCAATATTTTTTTATCAATTGTTATTTATCAACAGATAGGTGAACTGGGACCATTTCCAGTCTTATTATTTGAATTTCCTTATCCTATTATATTATTTCAACAATATTAATGTTGAACAACACTACTTGTGCACCACACTTCTACAGCAAATTTAAGAGCTTGATCACGGGCAGAAGACAACACGGTAGTTGGTACCAGCAGAGCAAGTGAACAGGCTTGTCTGATCGTCCAGCGGGTAGCTATAGGTATCCGGGCACCTATCCTTAAAGAACCTCGAAAATGTTGTCGGGCCACAAGTTCCAGGTCCTTCGGTGCAACAATATTCGTTGGTGTTAAAAACTGTGCACGGGTTATTACAACCGCCAGGAGTACGTAGTTCGTCAGGACATTGCTCCATAAATAGTGCCATTGCATATCACGCGGCGACAGCCATTGTTGGTGGGGCTTAACTCCATTGGGATGTTAAATCCGTCAACGATCGAGATATCGAAGAAGTCCACGTTATTAGGCTGATTAAGGGCAAATTCAGCAAGGGTATTAGGAGGTCTACCAAAACCTTGGCATTCGAGTACCCCATTGCAGTCTCCCGTTTCACATTGGCCGCGACCATTTGCGTCGAAGGTACAATTAGTACTGTTGACCCCAAAAAATGTTACCAACAGATGCCGGGCCCACTCGTGCACACGCAAGCTTGATCCAACACGCTAATGCCGATCGACAGTCATGATGGTTCCAGGTAAAAGGCGTGGGAGTGGTTAGAAGGCACGAGACGTTTCTGTTC